CCAAGTGACCATAATGGCCGGCCGGAGTTGAGCTGATCCAAAGCCAGGAACGTGGAGCTTCTGGGTCTCCCACATGGGTGTACGGTTCCAAGGCTCTGGACCGACCTCGACTGCTGGCCACAGGCAGAGAGCTGGATGGGAAGCAGTGCCACCGGGAGTAGAACCGGTACCCATATGAGATCCCAGCATGTTCGAGGCCAGGACTTTATCTGCTAGGCAATAGAGCTGGGCCCCATGTCGTGGTACTGTTGTTGTGCCAGATTTTTAGAGCCCCAGAAAATCTTTGAGTGTGAAGTCGATGCCAAGGCATAAAAGTGGTTTATTCAGGTTAGCCTCGGTCTTCCAGCGACCTCCTCCGAGCCCAGCAGGGCTGGGTGGGGGAGGGGCAGCTGGAGCTGAGGCTGTAGCCAGATCTGCAGGGCGGGAAAAGAGGCAAAAAAAAGGCCTACCGTTTTTATCCATTTCAGGTCAATTCCATACAATTATACAGTCATGACTGGTCAGTTTAACTGTTAGCTTTCAAAAAGAGCAAGTTGGCAGGCTTCTATTGGCAGGTTTGAAGCAAGCAACTTCCAAAGGTACAAACTGATGGGCTATAGGGCGGTGAATCCTACCTAACACCAGGGGTCTCCTTCCTGAGGAGTGGTCTGCCTACGTGACCTGCCGGGTGTCACGTAGACTATCAGGCCTGGAATTCACACAGCTCCCAGCCAAGCAATTAAGGCCGAATCACAAAAGCAGAAAACACCTAGGTTCTTCATTTTAAAGGGGTATCTGTCAACTTGTTTCTAAAATCCAATTTACCATACGTGTGTGGCCCCAGGTCATTCTCACCCTTTAGGAGACAGACTCAGTGTCAGGTCAAATTTTGTAGCAGGGGCCGAATTCGGAGATGGGAATGATAGCATTTTTTTTTCAGTCCCTCCCTAAAAGTACCAAGAGCTATTTGGTCATCATAAAAGCGACTGCTGGAATGAGGAGCTAACATCCATTTCTTTTTTCTTATTTTTTTTTTTCCTTTTTTAAGCATTTATTTACTTTTATTGGAAAGGCAGATTCGCAGAGATAAGAAGAGATAAAGATGTTCCCACTGGTTCACTCCCCACATGCTAACAACAACCAGAGCTGAGCCAATCTTGAGCCAGGAACCACGAGATTCCAGGAGACCCAGAAGGTCTCCTATGCATGTACAGCGACTCTTTTTCTCTCTGGGCCGTCCTGTACTGCTTTCTCAGGTCACCAGTACACAACCAGTCCCAATTCGGGATCCTGGCATGCAAGGTGAGAATTTAGCCACCAGGCTATCGTGCCAGGCAATGCGATAGGAAATCTTTCTCTATAAATCTGCCTTCCAATAAAAATAAAGCTTAAAAAGAAGTAAGGAAAGTAAAGCAGCAGCTTCAGAAACAGTCCAGTATCTTAGATGGCAAAGTACGGAAACTTAGACGCTGATAACTGTATCGGTGGTCTGAGCCTTCCCCTCTGGGGGGTAATACAATTGTGCTGGTGGTATTTGTAGGAATTCTCATGCATTCCACATCCAGCAAACTCTGTCCAGCAGAAGAGGCTGGACGTGGGATGGGAGAGGGCAGGGAGGAGAAACGGCTGGAAGAACTGCACTGCATCTCAGAGACCCCAGTCTGAATGCAAGCCGAGCTCTCGGTTTGCACTGAGCTTCCTGGCTTATCAAGTGCATGCTGTTCATTAAGCTTTGTTAGGCTGCTGGGTGGACTGGGCGCTGTTTATATGAAGAGGTGTCCATCTGTTCTGATGAGTGTCCTAAATTTTAAACCTTACTTATTCTATGACAACCCAGACAATAAAAAACGGAGACAGTAAGGCTGCATCTGAAATCTTTCCGGGATTTATCAATACCTCAGGTTCTCGGGAAGTCCTCAAAGGAAAGCGAAAGTGCTTATCAGAAAATATTCCATTCCAGCAGGAGATCTTGCCTTCTTTTACAGCTCAAAGAGGATTGCCCCCAAATTAGTTTCAGTTCAGTAGTTCTCACAAGACAACTCTTACTGGTATCATGTGTCCCGTGCTCTCCTAATTGATTGGATGATCCTGTAGAGTTGGAAAAAAAATGGTGTAAACATGGCTCATTACTAACTGCAATAATAATTTTTGCTTTTGTAACTTCTGCTTTGCTTGCTATGCTAAGAAACTGTAGCTCATGTCAGACGACCTAAATGACCTTTAGCACCTAATGGCCCCAATTCTCATGAATCAAGGCCCAAGTCTGGTTATCAAACAGGTGGCTCCAAGTAATTAAGTGGATGGTTATCTTAATTGCTGGACCTGGGAAGAGTCATACATGGGCTGTCCAGCCCAGATAGGGAGGGAATGTGTGGCATTTCCCCCTTCACCTTGCAGGCTATTGTGGTTTGCCCCTTTTCAAGTTACCATGGCCTACCCCTGTAAAAAACTGAATATACTATTTGGGGCCACACTCTGGGAAGGGGTGTTGGTCTTGGCTGGCCAGCTGGTTGGTTGTCTTGCCTCTGTGACTGTCACTGGTGAATGTAACATTCTGTTTTAGCAGTTGGGTGTATGCTACAATCCTTGCTTAAAAACCCCTGAACATAGCTGGTTGGGCTTCTCATGAGAGCAGTCAGATGTGCTGATCTGTAGTTAAGGTAACGTGTCTGCGTCTAAATCCTCACTTTGCATGTGTTGGGATTCCATATGGGTGGAGATTCTAGTCTGAAGTGCTCTACTTCTGATTAATGCTAAGTGCAGAGCAAGGAGCCAGGCAACTATGGCTTAATTTCCAGGCTCCCCTAGGATCTTAGACAATTGGGGCTGAGAGGTGTAAGCACAAGGTTGCCGGTTTATCAGTGATGCAGAGATTTATAATGGATTGTCCTGCTGAATTTTTATGCTAGCCGTGAAACTGGAGATGCCCTTTGCTTAATTTGTTTTGTTTAACATGCAAAATTGTTTCCTGTTTGGCATCGATGAGAAGCCAATTTCTACATCTTCAGGTAATTCTTTCATGCATTTCACATATTACTGTGTAGATGGTACTGCTGTGGGGTAGGCAATGATAATTCAGGGCCCTGAGCTTGAAAGCCACTCCACCATCACCTTGTACCTGAGAGGGGGTGGTACTGCATTGTTGTGTAACTACTCCCCTCACAAGCCCAGACTAAGGCTCATGATGGGGGAGGGGGCTCCCTTCCCCCTTGCTGGCACTCCGACTCGGCTTCCCCAGTACCTGCTTGCTCTCTGGCTTCCCAAGGTTAGACTCCAAGGACAGGTAAGCCCCGAGCACGGCCCCTGTGTGTCTGAATTCCTCACCCTCTGTTCACTGCTCGGGCAGGACAGTGAATACAGCAATGTGAAGATGCTTTGTATTTTTTTTTAATTAAAAAAAATTTATTGGAAAGTTAGATATAGAGACAGAAGAGCTGGGGAAAGATCTTCCATCCATTGATTGGCTCCCCAAGCGTCCACAGCGGCTGGAGCTGGGCTGACTTGAAGCCAGGAGCCCGGAGGAGACTCTTCCCACATGGGTGCAGGGTCCCAAAGCTTTGGGCTGTCCTAGACTTTTCCCAGGCCACAAGCATATGGAATCCAGGCTGGTGCAAGGTGATGACTTTAGCTGTTGAATCCAGACACTTTGTATTTCAAGAGTTCCAGGAGAGGTGAGGCCTAGCAATATTGAAATGTGGGCAGAGAAGCCAGGGAAAGGTGAATGTCTGAAGCTTTGCAAATGTGTCCAGGTTGTTCACTGTATGTCTTAGGATAACTTATGTTACTGGAGAAGCTGGGACATAGGCCTTCACCTCATTTTCATTTTTTTAAACATTTTATTGGAAAGGCATATATAAAGATGGGAGGAGAGACAAAAAGGAAGATTTTCTGTCTGATGCTTCACTTTAGCAGATGAACGAAATTCAGGATAATGACCATTTCCTTCTCTTGGGATCTCCATTGACTGGGTTACTATGGATTTGTCATTTTCTAATTTCGAGTGGGCCCTGTTATCAGCAAGCTTGTTTAATTAGGACTCCTTAATACATTCCAGATATAAGTCAGACAGAGAAGGAGTTCCAAGAGGTAACTCCAAAACACAAGACTAGAAACGGAAGCTGGGAGATAGCCAAAGTAAACCAGAGTAAGCTAACTAAGGCTTACAGGTTTATTGAGTCCCACTGAGCTATTTTCTGGGGTTTCAGTAGGTTTTGATGGAGGAAGAGATAACACTGAAGTGTTTACATTGTATCAGGCACTAAGCTCTGTGGCTTCTAAGTATTTCCTGGGATGCCCGCAGCAATCTGTTATCAACAGAGGACTTAGTGGCACATTTATCCAGGAATCAACCTGGAATGGGAATGCACGCGCCATACTATGTGCATATTTTTGCCGGGAGGAAGTGTTAAAAGGTAGAATGAGGATTAAGGAAGCTGTTTTGAAATTATAATAATCCTCAGCTATAGGGACCTTCCACAACGTTGAACAAGGTAGGGCAGGTATCCCTGTGTAAGCTTGGGGATGACCCTGACACACAAGCACTGTGGGTTTGGCACAGGTTTTTGTGCTTGTGGTTGTCATCAGGCAAGCATGAATGAAATGTCTTCCTTTGTAATCTACCGGCTCCGTTGACAATTTGATTGCATGGTTAGGGCTTGACACAGTGGTTCCATTTTGAACTCTTAACCGTGGAGGCTGTCATCCTCGTGAAAGAAACAGGCTTCCAGGGAGCAGGTATCTAGCCCGCGTTCTTCCTGGGGAGACAGCAAAGCCCTCTTTAGAACGCTGGTCTTCAACGCCCGCAAGAGCCCCGTGACCACCCCCACCCCAGCGTGACACCCATCTCCCCTCAGCAGCAAGCGTTCGTTTGGACTGGCTCGCAGGGCTGCGCGGACCGGGGCGCACCTGCAGCGCGCTGGCCGCTGGTCCCACCCCATCATCCCTGGCTGAGACCTCCGCTCCACCAATCGGGCGCGGGGGGCGGGCCGCGGGCGCGCACGCTCCAGGCCCGCAGTTCAAGTGGCAGGAGCTCAAGGAGACGCGACGCGGGGTCGGTGGGAGCGAGCCAGCACCTCAGTCTCCTTCCCCTCCCTGCGCCTCGCCCTCGCTCGCCTTCTCCTTCCCGCAGCCGGACCGGAACTATGTGATCCCGGAAGTTCCGGGGCCATTGCTGTGTGGGATAAACAGTAATGGCGGAGGCTGCAGCTCCCGGAACAACAGCCACAACATCAGGAGCAGGAGCGGCAGCGGCGGTGGTGGCAGCGGCCTCCCCCACCCCTATCCCCACAGTCACCGCCCCGTCCCCGGGGGCGGGAGGAGGGGGCGTCGGCCACGAAGGCGGCGGCGGCTGGACCAAACAGGTCACCTGCAGGTAGGACGTTGCGTGGAGGGGCGCCTGGCGAGGGGAGGGGGCTGCGGAAGGGAGGCAGGGAGAGAAGGGGGTCCCCTGCGTTATGGCCACCCCCCCACACCCGGCGTCCCCGCGGCCGCCGCCATCTCCCCCGCTTGTGGCTGCGTCAACCCCTGGTGGGCCGCGCGCGATCGCTGCGGGGCCGCCCGGCTGCAGTGCCACCTCCCCGGCCTGTGTTCTGTGGCCACCACCATTCTGGAGAGGTGGGAGGTCTCCTTTCCGGCTAGGTTTTTGTGTGTGTCTTGCGGATGCCGGCGCGCCTGCCTGCCTGCCTCCCGCTCGGGAGCTGCGGGGTCGGGGTCGCGAGGCGGCAGGTTGAGGACCCCGGCTTCCAACGACGCTCTGCTGGTCCTGGAGAGCCCCCCGCCGCCGGGCCCCCGGGAGCCTCTTCGGTGGTGTCATCTATTCGTAACGTCTCTTGGTCGTCGCCGCCTCTTCCCGACCCGGGGAAGCGGCTTTTGTATTTCTTCTTTTGTATGTTTTTGCGGAGGTTGGCGGTTCCGAGCTTTGTCTTCTTCCGAACCTAGCGGGGGCAGTGGGTGGGGGGAGGGCGCCGGGGTCGTCCCCTCCGCCCTTGGTTTTCTGAGCTGCCATTGTGATCCTCTGCCCACCAACCCCCTCAACCCCGGGGCACGGGGGTTCTTTTGAAATTCATGCATCCTACTTCCGATGGGGAGCCCCGAGGGACAGCTCTAGTTTGGGTTTGGAATGTCGTGCAAAAATAATAGCGAAATAAGTGGCTGGCGGTTACGCATGTAAAAAATGCCTGAGCCGTGCACCAAGGAGGGCGCTTGATTGTGTATTTGTTATGCTCTGGTCTTTGGAGAACCATTAGTGGGGGACTACAAGCCTTTTTCCGTCGGCTTGGAAAATACAGCCAAAAGGCCGGCTTTCATCTGCCTGGGATAATTTATACACATATACGTGAAACCACTCCTATGGTCCTGGACACCCCCAGATGGAGGAATTGCCGGTTTTTCGTTTGGTACATTTATTGGTTGCGAGATGGAAGCTTGCTGTCTCTGATACATGTGAAACGTGAATGATAATCTTAATTATTTCCGGTGATGGGATGCAGAAGGCATGAATGCAGTTTTAGGTAACCTGTCTTGCTCTTCTATCGGTCCTAAGGTTGGAAGTGAGGAAGACTTCCTTTGCCTGGAGCCTGTTGTGTCTTTTCTCTGCAGTTTTTTTTTTTTTTTTTAAATCATCTTTGTGGAACTTTCAAACCATTCTAACCGCCTCCCGGTCCAGTCGGCCTCAGACACTGATGCCCTTTGGCTTGAATGTGAGCTCTTCCAGAAGTGCGATTCAGGCCCCCACCGCCCGGCTCAGTAGGTAGCCCAGCCTTGGATGCCCACCAACAGCGGGACACTGCTGTGGTGGCTGTAACTTGAGCCCAGCCTTACAGCAGCCCGGAATTCTTTGTTGCTCGCCACACTTCTCCCTCTGTAGGGGCTTTTCCTTGGTGTTTGCCCCTCCTCGCCAGTATCACAAACATTTTAAGCCGGTTTAAGCTGCATCCTGTATGAATATTGATCTGAACTCTGGTTGCTTGTTTTCAAACCTCTCCTTTTAACTCTGATTTTCAACTAAATAAAGCCTAAAGAAAAATTTTTTGCATAGCTGAGTAACCTAATTTAAGAACATGTACATGAAACAGGCTTTTGAGGTACTTGCTTTTGTGTTTTTTTTGGGGGGGGAGGGCTTAAATCAATTTTGCTTTAACCAGTTGAGTGAAACTGATACATAAGTTAATTGATCTGTGTTGAGTTTTAGTGTTTTTAAAGATGATTCTAGGTACCAATGTGATTTTTGAAGAGTTCCTCTTCGGATGTAGAACAACAGCTGTGAAGGCTTTACTTTTAGATCATCTTAGCATGTGGGGCCCGATTGAATTTGTTGTGCCTGTAGGGTTCTCATCACTGCATTCTCTGCAGTGAAATGTTGGATGTTGACAAGATCATACTTAGTTAAATATGAACTTATTTGGTTGTATCATAAAATTCAAAATAAAAATGGGAACAAAACCATGGAGGGTGTTATGGTCAAGTGAGCTAAGCCGCCTCTTGAGGCATCTGCATCCCATTTCCAAATGTTTAGAGTCAATCTCTGCTTTCTGCTTTTGCATATCCCCGCAGGCATCTGGTGATGCATCTGCTGCAGTCCTTGCCACCCTCTTGGGGGAGTTCCCTGGAATCCCCTGCCTTGTCTCAGCCCGGCCCTGGCTGCTGTGGGCATCTGGGAGAGTGCACTGTTAGAAAATCTGTGTCTGCTCTCCCTTTCAGATTTAAAAAAGGAAATATTTTCTTAAAAAAAGACTTGGAGCAAGACACTCCAATGCCTCAAATTTATAAATTTACAAAGACAAAAGACTTGATAGAAGGTGCAAAAACTTTTTAATAAGTAAACATAGAATGCCTATTATGGGGGAGTCCCTGGTATTAAAGGAAGTTTGAAGTGTACAGGACTATAAATCTCCTTTGAAGCAGATTCAAGGTAATGATGGGTTCTACTGTTTTTATAAAGGATCACTTCTGCTCTGAGCAAGTGCCTATGGGCATTAAAGTGTAAGCAGCTTCAGTTAGAAGCTCTTTGGGAATCATCTGCGTTTCCTTCTTAGTTGTTGGTTACTGTTTTCTTAATGTTGCTGTTGAAATTCTCCTTATACTTTGTAACCTAAGGAAAACCCCAAGAAACCTTTCCTAAGAAGTTGTGTTATGCTGCCCCCAGCAGGCTGCTCTCTTATCTTTGATTAGGGGGGAAGGCAATGGAATAAGGTTGTTAATGTCTGTGACATTAATACATTTAATGTGCAAATTGTGGTTTTTATTTTAAACATTACTAGAATGCTTCTATAGTGGTAGAAGATTGTTCTGGCACTTGAAATAATATGCAGTTAGCAGCTTTTCCAAATTTTTCAAACATGTAGCTAATATAGCTTAAAGGTGAAGGAAATCTTTTTAGGAAAATTTTTAAAGATATTTAAAATATTTATCTGAAAATCAGAGCCGAGGAGACTGGGGGAGATCTTCCATGAGCTAGTTCACTCTAAGTGGCAGAAATAACTGAAGAGTTGGGCCAGGCCATGGCCAGGGTCTTTTCCTGGCTTTCCAGGTGCCTCAGAGTTAGATCAGAAGCGGGGTGAACTCGGCTGGAGCCTGTGTGGGATGCTGGTGCCACAGGTGACAGCTGTACCTGCACAGAGCTAGTCAGACATTCACTTTACATGTGATGTCTGTTGTGAAATTTATTATTTATGTGATAAAGCAGGCCATAAAACTAGAGTGACATTGAAAAAGTTATAGTTCCAAGAAAAGTTTTTCCACAGATGTTATTATGGAGATTAGGTGTTTTCTCCAACTTACTGTATTTAAGTACTGAAGGAGAGGAACAGAATAAGGGGCAGGCTTTGTGGTGCTGTGGGTGGTGTGCCTGCCTGCCACATTAGAGAGCTGGTTGAAGTTCTGTTTTTCCTGCTGTAACATGCCCAGGAAGCAGCAGATGGTAGCTGGAGTGCTTGGGCCCCTGCACCCGTGGGACACCAGACTAGGTTTTCTGACTCAGCAGGTGGAATATCTCTGTCTCTTCCTCTGTCTGCCACCCTACCCTGTCTAAATGATTAGAAATATATATATATATACACACACACACATTTATTAAGATTATAGTTTATTTGAAAGGCAGATTTACAGAGAGGAAGAAACAGAAAAATCTTCCAACCATCTGCTAGTTCATTCCTCAAATGACTGCAACTGCTAGAGCTGAGCTGATCCAAAGCTATGAGCTTCTTCAGGGTCTCCTGGGTGCAGGGCCCAAAGGCTTTGGTGCATTCTCAACTGCTTTCCCATGTCAGAAGCAGGAGCTGGATGGGAAGTAACACAGTGGGATGTGAACCAGTGCCCATCTGGAAATAACTCTGCCACCCTCATGAGAGCTGGTTCCCTAGTTCGACCTTTCTGGCCACTGTAGGTGATTGAGGGGGACAGGGACCAGCAGATGGAAGCATCCACTCTTCTCCCTTCCTCTCAAATACAGTCCAGTTTATATATATATATAAATACCATTAGTTAATAGGAAAGCCGTGGATCATTGTTGCTGCTTGGAGGTTCTGAGGGTGTTGTGAGTCTCTTGTTTCCTCACAACCCATTTCTGAGGTTTCTTATTCTCTAACTTGGTGACTACAGCAGTAGGCTGTACTAGAGGTACAGCACTAAGGTGATTGATTTCTTCTGCATTTTTCTTTGTTTCTGGGCATTGTGTGTTTGGAGTCAAAGAATCTTCTCAGTGGGACAAACTCTGTTGACAGCCTCAGGCCAGGTCAGCCTGGCCAGTGACATCCAGGTAAATTTGGATGGGTTTTTGATGGTGGCATTTAAAAATAAAGCACCAGGACTTGGTATTGTTTTTGGAAAAATTCCTGGGAGATAGGTTCCCTTGTATTGCTTCTTGTTGTCTGTTAGATTATATCCTAATCCTTAGACTGAAACTGAGGCGACTTGCAATGAGGGCTGCCACTCACTGTTAAGATTGTCCCTAATTCTGGGTGTACTCATGGCATATCTCTGAGCCATAAAAAGCAAATAAAAATACAAGCCAAAAGACCCAGACATATGAAGCCATCATGTGAAATAATGCTTCATATTTGGCAGTAACTAATTAGGACCCAGTTCTCGTGTTTCTGTTGATTATGCAGGTACCGAGGTGGTTAAGTGTCTGGGTTCTTCCAGCAGTGCTGGTAGCGGACCTCTGGAACTTCACCACTAGGTAGCTGGTTCCTCCTGCAGCTCCCCATGCGTATCCATTCCCTCTGTGCTGGAAAAGGGTATTTGCTTTGTCTTCTGGCTAGAAGACTGTGACATGATATATAGGCTGCTGTCTTTTCTCTCTTTACTGATTATTTTCCATAGGTAACTCCTTAAGTGCATTGTTGAATGTGGCTAAAGTCCTCACTTTGAACACACTGGGATCCCATATGGGTGTTTGTGTCCCAGCTGTTCCACTTCCCTTCCAGCTCCCTGCTGGGAAAACAGGAGGGATGGTCCAAAACCTTGGGACTCTGCACCGAAGTACAAGACCTGGAAGCAGGTCTTGTCTCTTGGTTTCAGATTAACTTGGCTCTGACGGTTGTGGTTACTTAAGGAGTGAACCAGCAGATGGAAGGTCTTTGCTTCTCTCTGTAAATCTGACTTTCCAATAAAGATAAATCTTAAAAAGATGTGACAGGGCAGAGCAAGACTGAAAGGAAGGATGTGAAGTGAAATGTGGGATCAATGAAGACATTCCAGTTAAGTCTGTTGCTTTTTGTTGTTGTTGGAAAGGCAAATGGATTTATGGAGAGCAGAGACTGAGCTGTCATCCACTGGTTCACTCCCCAAGTGGCCACAGTGGCTGGAGCTGAGCCGATCTGAAGCTAGGAGCTTCTTCCAGATCTCCCTTGTGACTGCAAGGTCCCAAAGCTTTGGGCCATCCTCTACTGCTTTCCAGGCCATGAGCAGGGAGTTGAACAAAAGTAGAGCAGCTGGGGCATGAATTGCTACCCACATGGGTTCACGGCACTTGCAAGAGGAGGATTTATTCAATTAAGCCATTGTGTGGTACCCAGGGTTCTGCCTTTTCCTTTTTTTTCCTCTTAAGTCTCAGGGAAGTGCAACTCACATTAAGAGTCACAGCAAGTAAGTGACAAAGCTAGAATCTTGCTAATTTGGAATCTAAAATTGCTTTTGAATACTGCTCAGATGGGAGTGGTCTGCTTCTGATTCAATCTGGTGACGTTTGGACTGTTTTGGTAGCTGTATTTATCTATATTTGAATATCAACAGTCAAGACATGACAGTAGTACTGTAAAATTGAAATTGATTCCAATACTTGCCTATTTGGGATCTTTTGCTGGGTTTACACTGGGTCTGTTCCCTGCCCGTTTTTCTTCCACACACTCCATGTTTGCTCTTAATCTCTTTACGCTCCCTGCCAGCCTGCCCTTAGTACCTTGTGGTCATCATCCTACTTGTCTTAATTCCAGGCAGGGCCTTTGCACATGCTGACCTTCTGACCGGAGTATTGATTTCTTCAATCACCCAGTTTTAAAGCACACATCACTCTGGGAAAGCCTTCCTTGAGACTGATAACCTGATTGGGTCATATTTTTTTTTTCTTGGCTCTTAGGACACCATCTAGTTTTTCTTTGTAGCCTCTAGTAAGATTAGAGCTCTGTGTTTGTTGGTCCTCTGCCTGCCTTTGCGTCTATTCCACTAGACTCTGGGCTAACAGGAACTGTTTGCTGGCTCACTGTCAATGGGTTACCACCAGCTGAACAGCGTCAGCAGGAAGGACTCATTTTGCAGAAGAGTGAGTGGTTAGGATGATTTGGTTTGTAAAGTTGATGTAATTTCCATCATTTGAGGTTTAGCTTCCATTTTCCTTGTTTATAAGGTAGGATTGCAGGCCTTACTCACTTGCTTTGCAGTGGTTCATTATAATCCATTGTAATTCCGCACTAATGTTCGTATAACAATATCTAAGAAGCCAAGCACCATCCTGTGGTCTGAGGCAGTGGCAATAAAGCTCGGTCAGTTGCTACACTTTCCCAGGCCAGCTGGTCTGTGTGTTGGCTCATTGTCACTCTTCCTGGCATTTTGGAGTATAAAGAACAGTTTTGATCCGGCACAAATGTCAGATGTGTGGGTGCTTCAGCAGTGCGAAGGAAGAGTGCGGGCACTACGGGGGCTTGCACCTGGAAGCAGCTGGTCAAGGAAAGATAGGTCTGCAACTGTCTGGTAGTAATTAGCGGAAAGCTTCGTTTGACATAATCAAGAGCATTGTTGGGAGTGTGACAAAAAAGGGATTTAAGAATAGATCCAAGAGTGGGTGCCGTGACCGTGTAAAAAGTCATCACCTACTACTGCACCAGCGTCCCCTCTCTGCTTGTTCATGTTTTCGCAGCTCCACTTCCTACCTAGCTCCCTGCTAATGGCCTGAGAAAACAATGGAGGATGACCTTTGAAACCCTGCAACCATGTGGGAGACTCAGAGACTCCTGGTTGCTGCCTGTGAACTGTCCCAGCGCTAACCCTAATGACCCATTTGGGGAGTGAACCAGTAATGGAAGATCTCTCTTCTTTCTGTAATTGTATCTTTCAAATAAATATATTTTTTAAAAGAGTAGATTTCTCTACTTCACTTTAACAGCTTTAGACTTGTTTATTATTATGTATTTATTTGAAAGGCAGAAATTCAGAGAGGGAGTGACTGATCTTCCATCTTTTTGGACATTGATCCACTCCCCTAATGTTGCAGCAACTGAGGCTAGGGACTGGTAGATCTCAAACCAGCCCCCACCTGCTTTAGGTTTTTAGGCACACTGTATCAAGCTGCTTTAGCTGCTGCTGCTGTTGCTTTTTTTGTAATTGGAAAAGCAACTTTAGAGAGATGAGACAGCAAAATCCTCCATCCGCTGGCTCACTCCCCAAATAATGGCCACAGCAGTTACTTCCAGGTGTCCCATATGGGTGCAGGGTCCCAAGGCTTTGACCCATCCTAGTGCTTTCCCAGGCTATAAGCAGGGAGCTGGAGGGGAGTAGAGCAGCTGGGACACTAACCAGCACCCTTATGAATGTCAGTTCTTCCAGGTAGAGGACTTGCTGAGTTTTGAGCCATTGCACCAGGCCTTAGTCAAGCTTGAATACCTGATTTCAAGCTAACACTCCCCCGCACCCCCTGGATGTTGAAGTATTGGATGGGAGTTTTTGTGCTGTGTGTATAATGCGAGAGGTGGAGTGATAAATAACTATATTCAGTGATATTGCTTCAGATGAGTAACCCATTATCCAACATGGACACATATTAGAATCTTTGAGGCAGGATTACAACGTAATTATTGACTCTTTTTAAAGCCCTTAAGTCTCCCTATATTCGATGAAGATTTATCCACTGGTATTTTTCATAAATAGTGGAGCTTGGACTACTTGAAGGAGGCTTATGGGAAGTACCTCTGTAGTGTTTCAAATCTGAATGAGGCCATCTTACACTTATGGACTAGGGAAATAGGCTAATTACTCCCAGAATTTGACTTTGTTCTTTTATTGTTACAGATTGCAACACTAGGAATTTACATTCTTGATAACTATATAACTGTTCTGTAACCTGCTGTCACATACAAAGTTCTAGCACAGGTGGTCTTTAAATGGGGCCTTTGACATCTGAGAATCCCCAAGAGCCCTTGGCTAGAGATGAACAGCTATCTTGATAGTGTTCGGTTCAGTGGGTGAGTGGACCGTGTTTAATATAGCCGCTTTTCTGTGGCCCTCGAGTAACCAGACCACATATCTACCTTGTTGCTTGCTGTCCCTTGTTCCCCTGCGGGGAAAGGCAGGTTTGGAGGATTGTGCTGCTGCCAGAACAAGGCCCTGCTCACTTCCCTGATCTTTCTGGTCACATAGAGAGGCAGATGGCTGGGTCTTGGAAGCTGCCTTGCATCCGGCTCCCCAGGCATGCTTGGGTTGGAAACTAGTGAGTCATATTCTCATGCTTGGTTTTTGGAACCTGCCAGTCACACACACACACACAGCCCTTTAAGGCAGCTGCCAGAGTGACCACTGCTTCTGTTTTAGCATCTGGTCTTTCATGCTTTTACCTATGGCTTTCCAGGAAGCCAGATGGATTTCTTAAAGTGGTAAACTATGTGCTAAGGAGTCTGACCACTTTCTCAGCCTACATTATTCCATTATTATTATTATTAGAAAGGCAGATTTACAGAAGAAAGTTCCTTTGGGTCTTCCACATTGGTGCAGGGTTCCATGGTGTTGGGCTGCCCTTGACTGCTTTCCCAGGCCACTGACCGGGAGCTGGATGAGGAGTAGCCAGGACATGAACTCAATGTCCATATGGGATCTTGGCACATGCAAGGCTAGGAGTTGAGCCACTAGGCTACCGGACCAGGCCCGGCCCTTTGTTTATCTTTGATATCTTTGAATTTTTAAAGAACACAGCTGCCAATAGGACTGTAGTTAGTGGAAAGTGAGATGCCACCTTCCTAGGACTGTAAACTGAGGGCCAGGTGAGACTTGACCTGCAAAGAATGGCAAGGTGGATCCTTGTGAGCTGGTGCCCTAGTGCCAGGCTGCCCACCTGCAGTATACCCAAGTGTGGGTGGTTTTGTGCTGAAGCAGTCTGATTCTACTGTGTGTTCATTTCATGTTTGTGTGTTTACTGGTGGATTCCAGGAGTCCTTGGATTGGTTTCAGCCTTTGTAATCTGGTTCTGTGGTCCTTTGTGTCACAGGTATTTTATGCATGGGGTTTGTAAGGAAGGCGATAATTGTCGCTATTCGCATGACCTCTCGGACAGTCCATACGGCGTAGTGTGCAAGTATTTCCAGCGAGGGTACTGTATTTACGGAGACCGCTGCAGGTAAGAATTCCCTTAAATTCATTCTCTTCAGGGGTGGGCTAGGAGCAAAGCAAAATGTGCTGTCCTAATAATGTTTAGACATAATAAATTGGAAATACTTAGTGCTGGGAGTTGGCTAGGAAGCAGAGTTGATAGGACCCATATGGGATGCAAGGTGAGAACTTTAGCCACTAGGCTACCACGCTGGGCCCAAAAATAATCTTTGAAAAAAACAAGCAATGCTTCGGGCCCAGCATCTGATACACTGCTTTGCACCCGCTGGGATCCCATGTGGACACCGGTTCTAATCCCAGAAGGCCCGCCTCCCATCCAGGTCCGTCCTTGTGGCCTGGAAAAGAAGTCTAGGATGGCCCAAAGCCTAGGGACCCTGCACCTGTGTGGGATATCTATCCGTAAGAAGCTCCTGGCTCCTGGCTTCAGATTGGCTCGGCTCCACCTGTTGCAGCCCTTGGGGAGTGGACCGAGGATCTTCCTTCCTCCGTCTCCTCCTCTCTGTATATCTGACTTTGCAATAAAAAAGTCAAATAAATCTTTTTAAAAAAAAAATCAGTTCAGGAAACATCCATGTTTGTTGGTTAGGTGATATTAAATGGATTGCCCCCAGATTCAGGAGGCTAGCGTCTGGCTTGCTGATCACATACGTATTTCCTTGGAGTTGACCTGGCCCGGCGTCAGGTGTCTAGAGGGCCACTGCTGGGGATGCTGCGCTCCTGGATATTTGGCAGGAGGACGCGGTTCCTTTGCTTGTGTTCCTTGATGTAGTGGTGCCTTAGCATCCTTAAACTTGTAACTGGTAGCTGGCTTTACCTAGAGCACATGACTCAAGAAAGGGGACAAGGAGGAGAAGGCACAATGGCTTTTATGACCTAGTCACAGCAGTCGCCATCACTGGCTAAGTCACTAAGCCCAGCCTACATTCAACAGGAAAGAAGCTGGGTTCCACCTTTTAAAGGGAGACATGGCAAAGACTCTTCGACAGACTTTAACCAACTGCATTGGGTAAGACTTTGGCAGTGTCATAGCCAAATTATTTTAGTGCAGTATTTCCAGAGAACAAAATACGTCCAACTGTTAGACTCAAATGCTTATAGTTGAAAAGAAAATGAAATAATTGATGGATACAGTATTAATGGTAAATCATTTTAGAATTGTTTTTATTGGGAGATTAGATTCATAGAAAAGGACAGGGCTTTTGACCATTGCTTAACTCGCCAAATGGCCAGAGCTGAGCCATGTGCGTGCAATATCCCATTTGGGTCACCCATTACTGCTCTCCTAGGCCACCAGGTAGGAGCTGGATAGGAAGTGGAGCAGCTGGCATATATATGAACTGGTGCCGGGCACAACAACGGCATTTTATTTTATTTATTTATTTTTTAAGGATTTATTGTGTTTTTATTGGAAAGGCGGATATAGAAAGAGGAGAGAGAGAGAAAGAACGATGACTTTTTAAAAACAAAAATGGGCATAGGTCTCTGTGAGTACACAGGTTAGTTAGCCACTGCCCATGATGCCATTGTCTCCAGGGCACCTCTTCAATTCCAGATAATCTATTCTCTTCTGACTTTGGAAAATCGCAGGGGATGGCTGACATGCCTGGGCCCCTGCGAAATCTGTCTCAGTCATTCCTCTCTCTAATTCTGCCCTTCAAATTAGTAAATTAGCTCAGTTCTGGTTGTTGCAGCAAGTTGGGGAGTGAATCAACAGAGGATCTTCCTCTGTCTCTCCTCCTCTCTGCATATCTGACTTTACAATAAAAAAATAATCTTAAAAAACAAGGAAGTATAAAATATACCATGCAATGGTTGGAAAGGGAGGTTAATTTGTGAATGCATGAAGAAAAATACATATTTACGGTTTGTACATGCTGCCTCTAACATTTGATGTTGGTAGTATGTTATTGCACATGTCATGTTTCTGATGTCCTTATTGAGTTTTTTATAAGTTTTAAAGTTCTTCTTGAAAGCTTTGGTTGCAATCTTTGGACTCAGTCCAGGTGTCGCACATGGGTGGTGGGACCCGAATGCTTCAGCATCCTCTGCTGTCTCCCGTGGTGTGTGTGCATCAGTCAGCAGGAGTCTGTGCTGAAGCCTGGAACTGGGGATGGCGTGAAAGGCACATTTTTTCCCCCCAGAGCCTGAGAGACAGAGGGGCAGATCTTCCATCTGCTGGCTCACTCCCCAAATGACCACAATGGCTGGAGTTGAGCCGATCTAAAACCAAGAGCCAGCTGGGTAGAGGCCATCCTCTATTGCTCTTCCAGGCTGAAAGCAGAGAATTGGAGAGGACGTGGAGCACCTGGGACCAAATAGTACCCATAGTGGATGCCATTGCTTGCAGGCAAAGGAGCCTTCAGCTCTGCCGCTTTGACAACCATACCACCTGTCTTTAAGGACATCTTAATCTTAAGCACAGTGCCAAACACCTGCTCCTTTGGATTGAATTTGAATCAATTAACCGGTTTTGACTACATGGTCTTTTCAGCAGTATTACTGTTGCAGAAATCACAATTGGTTATAGCGGGATTTGAAGTGTGGATGCTGGCATACAGGCTTGATCAGTCTTAAGAGCCATTTTGTAAATGAGAATTATTGTAGGGCTGGTGTGGTGCTGCTGTAGGCAAATCTTTTATCTGTGGCACCAACATATCATGTAGGTACCAGTTCAAGTCCTGTCTGTTCTACTTCCCATCCAGCTCCCTGCTTATTGCCTGGGAAAGCAGTAGAGGATGGTCCAAAGCTTTGGCACCCTTCCCCGACGTGGGAGACCTGGAAGAAGCTCCTGGCTTTAGATTGGCTCCGTTTTGGCCATTGTGGCCACTTGGGGAGTAAATCATCAGATGGAAGATTTTCTCTGCCCATCTTTCTGTAGATATGCCTTTTGAAATAAAAAAAAAGGCTGGAGAGGAGAGAAGGAAGGGATTTTACATCTACTGGTTCATTCCCCAGATGGCCACAACTGCTGCTCGGAAGCCAGGAGCTTCTTCTGGGTCTCCACATGGATGTGGGCCCCAAAGCCTTCCCAGGCCATTAGCAGGAAGGTGGATTGGAAGTGAAGCCAACAGAACTCACTATGGGAGGCCTATGGGATCTTGGTCTTGGTGTGGAGGCTTATTCTGATGTGCCCCACGGCTCATAAATGGAACTAGGTAGTATTCCCATCACAGATGGGCTTGCTATATAGGCGGGACCATGGCCTCCACTCTGCATTTGCAAATTTAATCAAATGTCTGCCTTTTTAAGCAATTCTCTGGTTTATCTCTAGCTAAGGTTTGACAAGGAGCCAGGGAGCATGTCAGGAAACACAGTGATGGCTTCCTTTTCTGTGTCGTTAAAGGTATGAACATAGCAAGCCACTGAAGCAGGAGGACACTGCTGCTACCGACCTAACTGCAAAACCTTCCCTTGCCGCCGCCTCCTCAAGTCTCCCTTCCGTAGCTGGACCGCTCGCGGAAATGAATACGGGCGAAACCGAGTCACGAAATTCAAACTTTGCAGCTGTAGGCGCAGGTTCAGAGGACTGGGTCAATGCCGTTGAGTTTGTCCCTGGGCAGCCCTACTGTGGCCGTAGTAAGTATTCTGAAGAGTAAAGTAGAAGTTGGAGGGCTAGGCAGTAGTGCACCAATTAGCCGATTTTTCACAGCCTTCCTGCTTCCAATCTTCATGTTTAGCCTAATCTTAAGTACTTTAAATTGGATTGCCTAAGACTTGCAGATGGAAAGAAACTTTTTGACTCCCAAATGGTAATGAATTCAGAATGCTTTGGAAAAAAAAAAAAAACCTGGAGCTTTTTTTTTTTCGTTAATACTTTTTAAAACTAAATTTCAATTATACAAGAAATAACTAAAGAAGCTTTTTTTTTTTTTAAACAAGCCTAATTTTGGAAAAATCAGCATTAGAAAACATTTCAAGAGTGAAGTTCAATAGACTGTTTTGGCGTTTAATTGAAGTTCTTTGTATTTTTTTCCCCCTTCTCAGTTAGGTTCTCAGTACCTTATAGTTCGTATCTCTGCCTTATCCCTTTGGGCCTTTACCACCCTCTTCAACATTTTCAGCTGCCTCTTCCTGCACTGAAGCACCCCCGCAGGGCTCAGTGACCAAGGAAGAATCAGAGAAAGAACAAACCGCTGCGGAAACCAAGAAGCAGCTTTGCCCCTATGCCGCAGTGGGAGAGTGCCGCTATGGGGAGAACTGTGTGTATCTCCACGGAGACTCCTGTGACATGTGTGGGCTGCAGGTGCTGCACCCGATGGATGCCGCGCAAAGGTCTCAGCACATCAAAGTAAGTGCCCAGGGTACCACGGGCGTGGAGGCTGACGAGCCACCCTTGCTCTTGGCTCAGAGTTGACCCGGTGCTTACTGGCAAAGGGTGGGTGGTGGAGATGGGGGATTCCTTCTTGTCCTTCCTGCATTTCAAGAAGTCCTTGTAACATTGTTTCGATATTATGTAGTTTTTCTGAGCCTGAGCTTCCATATGATGCACTTTTTTTCCCTCCACTTTGTGTAAATGCGGGTTCCATAGTTGGGAGTCTATTCACAGAGTTGTGCGACTGTTAGCGATTACTCTCTAATCTTGGGATCCCATCCTAGGAAGAAACCTCATTCATACCTGTCAGCGGGGACCCTTGATTGTATTTGCCTTGAGCTTCGGGCAGACACTAACCAACTGGCCTGTCTGGGACATTTTGGGACATTCGCCCTTGAGTGGATGTGTGCCCAGTGCCTGTTGGGAGCGTCTGCCTTCCTGTAGCACACCGTTCACACTTCAGGCTTTCTGTACTCCGTTCCTTGTGACGGCTGTAGAATGATCCATTGCATGGCAATGCCACGTCCTATTTTCCCAGTTGTCTGTTGGCTTCTATCAGTGACACTGCTGTGGGTACAACTGGGCAACTGGGACTTGGACTCTTCCCGGCTGCATTGTATTGGGGCTTCAGGGGTTTTAAATCCTCTCACCATACAAAACTTTTTGTGAAGAAGGCATTACTGTGCTTTCTCTTTATTCTTATTATTACTATTTTTTTTAAATTGGAAAGTCACATTTACAAAGAGAAGCAGAGACCGAGAGGTAGATCTTTTTTTTGTCCAGTGGCTCACTCCGCGAGTGGCTGCAACAGATAGGGCTGAGCTGATGTAAGCCAGGAGATGGGAGTTTACTCCAGGTCTCCCATGTGGGTGCATGATACCAAGGCTCTGGGCTGTCCTCCTGCTTTCGCAGGCCACAAGCAGGGAGCTGGAAATTGAGCAGCAGCACCCATATGGGGTGCGGGTGAGTTCAAGGCAATGATTTAGCTGCCAGGCTATTGTTCTAGGCCCCAAGAAAACATTAATTTTCAAACTTTTATGAACAAAATGTCACCTCATGGTTGTATCCATCCCTGCTTAATAAAATAATTTGGTTATGCAGGGAAACGTGCTATAAGTACATGATCTTCACAACATACCAGTGTGAGGTTAGGTGGAACAAGTCATTACATATAGTCCTGCCTGCCTCTGTAGATTGGGGGATATAAAAAAAGGTTTACATGAGGAAATGCACAAAATTTTACGCATCGTGTGGAACTATGAGTGACTTCTGTTGCACTTTGCATTTTTCTATTTTCCTGTAATCTTGCTCCTTATGGATTGCAGAAGTGTGTGGTAGCCATGCAAACGCTTGCACCTGAGTGTTATTTACGCAAGTCCTGAAGTGTAAGCAGCCTTTGTGTGCCTGGCCTGATGAGTGGACGGGGAACACGTGGTCTAGCGTATTAGCTATGCGTACAGACCCCGGCCACATGCTGCGACATGAACAGCTGTAAACAAAGCCAGTGACGAACGGTCACAGTTGTAGGAAATGTCCTAAGTTGGCAAGGCTGGTTACTTGAGTCCGGGGTCTTTGGGGGTGCCAAATGAGTAACTGCTGACGGCTCTGGCCTTCCTTTGTGGGGTAGTTAAGATACTTGGGTCGTGACTGTGTTAATGGTTGCATGGCACGTACCAACACCTGATAGTCCATTTCAGGTGTCACTGCTGCTTGTTTGCCTCCTTCACCTTTATTTTCTGACAGGCCTTTAGTTAGAGCCTTAAGCTTAAGAACATTGTCCATCTAACTGAAAAATGAACATAGTATCAGAACTGTCTTTACTGTGGGCAGCAGCAGGGTTGTGCGTTTGGGGGAAGAGGCAGCTGGGTCGTTTTGAAATTTTCGTGGTTTGTTCTCGGTGTTTGCAAAGTCCCATAATGTCATGTTCCCCGTGTTCACTTGTGAATAAAAAATTTACTCTTCATGCCAGATTGGAAACTGTTTTTGCGTTGACAGTTGGCTTCTCGGTGAGCTGACGGCCCTTTTCTCTCTGCTCCCTGCAGTCCTGCATCGAGGCCCACGAGAAGGACATGGAGCTCTCGTTTGCAGTGCAGCGCAGCAAGGACTTGCTGTGTGGCATCTGCATGGAGGTGGTCTACGAGAAGGCCAACCCCAGCGAGCGCCGCTTCGGCATCCTCTCCAACTGCAGCCACACCTACTGTCTCAAGTGCATCCGCAAGTGGAGGAGTGCTAAGCAGTTTGAGAGCAAGATCATAAAGTGAGACTCCCCCCCCCTCCATCCTCGTTTGTGCTTTCCTAGTTGGGGGCCGCGATTTACTAGCACCTTGTGCCAACTTAGCACCAGACGGACCACATTTAACTGCATGCATTTATGTTGAGTGGGGTAGTTTTTCTTCTAATGAGTAGCTTCTAGGTTAGTTGGGCTATCTGCGTTTATTTGAATGAGGAAACCCTGTGTATCAGTGCTTTTTCTGAGGAGATTGTGTCTAATGGATTAGCCAGTTTCGGCTCAGTGAAAAACACGTACCTGGCTCTAAATGTATGTTCCTAACATTTCGCATATTCCACGTTCTATTCCATCCATTAAGCTAGCCAATAATTACCATCCTTTAAAGATTGTTCTCATAACTAAACAAAAGCTACATAATCTAAACAGAGCAAAGTTGCAAGAAATAAATTTATTTAAATGAAAGAAAAAGGAGTCTGTGTGAACTGTCTTTTTCTTTTTACTTTATTTTTTAACCTAAGCGTACTGGCTAGCCATGGAGTTGGATTTAAATGAGCTTATCTTGCCTACCAGGAAATGGTCAGTTGTGTGGCAGTGTGTGGGCCGCTGGCAGGCAGTGCCCATGATCCTTGGGGTTAGGCTTGTCACCCCGGAGGGGGACCCACCAGGGTGTGCCCTCGCTGTGTCGCTGGCCCGGGAGGGGAATGCACACTGTAGCCTCTTCATTGTTTCCCAGGTCCTGCCCAGAATGCCGGATCACATCTAACTTTGTCATTCCAAGTGAGTACTGGGTGGAGGAGAAAGAAGAGAAGCAGAAACTCATTCAGAAATACAAGGAGGCCATGAGGTATGCGCACTGCCGCCTCTCCCTGAGCCACGGGCTCAGCGGCACTTGGGTTTACTTGGAAAAGTGGTGCTGCGTTTGGCCTTCCTGTCTCCTTCATGCCCTTTCTTCTTCCCCAGGACGGTTTGTTTCGTCACCCCCCAGTAACACTTGCCCGGTCATGTATCTTGGTCCAATACAGTCCCTGGGTGCGTGCCTGGGGACTGCGTTATAGTGAGGTCTGTTGTGCTGCTGTCCAAAGCCGCGTGCTGGGGAGTGCTCGCACTCAAGCCATGCCATAGTTGTTCTATATTAATTCTCATGTGTTGGCTTCCTAGAAGACTTGGTCTCTGTTGGATCTGCAGTCCTAGAAGTGGTACCAGCATAGCCTGAAACAGTGTCAGTGTCTCATGCGTTAGCACACACATGCCTCGAAGGATGAGGACACAGCATGGGAGGGCGGGGGGCAGGCATCCTGAGTGCAGGAGCCTCAGCCCGGACAGTAGTCAACACAGACCTGCGGTCCACTGTGAATAAGGGTTGCGGTATTTTCCTTTCCAGCAACAAGGCGTGCAGGTATTTTGATGAAGGCCGTGGGAGCTGCCCATTTGGAGGGAACTGTTTTTACAAGCATGCGTACCCTGATGGCCGTAGAGAGGAGCCACAGAGACAGAAAGTGGGAACATCAAGCAGATACCGGGTAACTCACTTTTTTTTTTTTTTTTTTTAATTTTAAGAGGGGACCGAGCACGATGGCAGTGGAGGCCTGCACATGCTGGGTGACACAGGTGATTGCTGTAGACTGGCAGTGAGACTACAGCATTAAAGGAGGAGTACACACACCTCAAAACTGGGAGGGACACCCAGACCAAGCAGGGTGTTGGAGTTCTAGGGGTTTCTTTTCTGGTGGTGGTCTTGCATCAGGTGACTCCAGGGGAGGCATTGGTCGGGAGTCCCGATTATGTCACGCCGCTCTGGTATGCGGGCCATTTTTGGGGGGTTTTGTCTTTTTGCCTTATAAACAGCACAGTAGAAGATCCCCCTGGACAGTGCCATCCCTATCATGGCCTTGTTTTTGCAGGCCCAACGAAGGAACCACTTCTGGGAGCTCATTGAGGAAAGGGAGACCAGCAACCCCTTTGACAACGACGACGAGGAGGTGGTCACCTTTGAGCTGGGCGAGATGTTGCTCATGCTTTTGGCTGCAGGTGGGGATGACGAGCTGACAGACTCTGAAGACGAGTGGGACTTGTTCCACGATGAGCTGGAAGATTTTTATGACTTGGATCTATAGCAGCCTGCTGTGATGTGTGAACTGGTCTGCCGAGCCCCGTCCCGCCCCCCGCCCCTGACAGCAGCTGTGCCCTGTGCTGGTGTGGCGTGCGTGTTGCTATCCTAGGCAGGCCTCTCAACTCCAGGTGCTGTTGTCACACTTCTTACCCAGGTCCTGTCTTCTCTAGCCCCTTTCTGTCCCTGTCCCTGTCCCTCGGCCCCACCCTGAGGAGTGTGTTGTTTTCTCTGTTTCAAAAAAAAAAAGTTACAAAAATAAATCTTAAAGTTAGCTTTTTTTTTTTTTGTTAACACGAATTTAACTGTCAGCTAGCGAGCATAGGTTTGTTGCGTCATCTGTTTTCAAGCAGATTGTGTTTATGCATTCCCACACTCATTGGAGTACTCCCCAGGTTCCTCAAAAACAACAACAAAAAAACACTATTCCTTCGTTGTGGGGAGTTCCAGAACAGGGGTGATGGATGAAGGGACCTAAGCTGGCAAGTCGCCTTCTGCCACAGGCACAGGAGGTGGACCCTTGAGGTTCTGGTGAGTCTGCGCATCTGTGTTTTGTTCCTAACCCTGTATTCTCCGCCGTGTGCACTTGGTCTGTGGTTTTAGTGTCATGTTTAATTGCACGCAGTAATACTACTGAGTAACCAGAACCAAGTGCAGATGTGTAGAGGTTTCCACTGTGTTTAAGCATGGTAGGAAGGTTGTGAATGAACCATTAAAATAGAGTTGGAGAAGGTTGACTCCAAGGGCTGATAGGTTTGGTGGGTGTGTGGTGGGGGCAGAGAGTGTGTGTGTGTGAATGTGTGAGAGAGAGAGAGAGAGAGAGAGAGAGAGAGAGAGAGAGAATGAGTGTGTGCGCGTGAGAGATGAGCTTCCCATGCCTGCATAGATGCAGTTTTCTTAGCCTTAGTGGACAAACCTGGTGTAGTGGTTTCAGCCTTGTGTGGCGGGTAGATCTTAAAGGCAGCTCCATTGGTAGTGCTTAATCCTAGCAGTGCTAGCGTTGTCTGGCTATATAGAAAAATGGGGTTAGCCATAGAGGTTAAAACTATCCGGTGATCCTATATATATGAACACAAACTGGGTCTTGGATGCACAGTTGTATTTAATGTCTTAGGATTCAGCCTCTCCAGTCCAGGCACTTTTGGAAAAACCTTTGTCCTCATTTGAGGAGTTTTGTTGAGTTTCTGTGTTGGTTTTTTGCTGATACTTGCCTCAGTCCACGCCGAGCCCTTTTTGCAGGTAGACGGATGTAATTCAAAACTAGGTACTGAGGTGTGTCTTGTAGCGGAGTAACTGGTTTGCAGTCACAAGCCCTACTTTTCCACTGGAGGGAGGTGGGGTGGCCATCCACACGACGAGCTCAAGTTCAGTTGTTAGCTGTTGCTCTGTTCCCTGCAAGTCCGTGGGAGATGCTCCTGACAAGCCCCTCTACTGCTTAGATTCCTGAATTCCCACCCGTCCTTTGACTTTACGGAAAAGAATAAAAAGCCCGAGTAACTGTTGCAGAGGTCTCTGTATTTTGCAGCTGTCCTTTTGTAAGAAGCACTTTTCCCAAATAAAACAATAAAACAGTAAGTTGGCTCTCCCGTTTTGTGTGCTGGGCTCAGTTCTTCAAGCAGTTGGTGTCACTGTTTTACAAGACTGCCAACCTGCTGAGAAGCCTTTGAAAGATTAAAGGGGAAGTCTGAACTGGCTGGGATCACAGAATTTGCAAAACTAACACTGCTTCTCCACCCCCTCCCCGGCACTCCCTGCTTCACACCTTCATGTGTGTGATGATCAGATGTAGGTAACATACTTGTGTCTGGAAGTATGTATTTTCTCCTTGAATTATTTTGTTGCCAAAATGGGAACCATCCCGCCACACCTGTGGTGCTTGTTTGTAGGAATATCACTTCCTGTTTTTAGTTCTACATGAAGAATTTATGATGCTACAGAAGTTTCCGCATCCAGTAGTGGCATATCTGTGTGCTTGTTATGGTCACAATATCCATTATGTAGATCCACTGAGTTACTGAGTTTTCTGTAAGCAGCTGCCTTCTAGAAGAGACATGCTCCAGTGCTGCTGCTGTTAGTCAAGCTGGGGCTGGGCACCGCCAGAGCAGTACTGAAGCACCTGGGTGGACAGGTGTGGACAGGTGTGGGGGATAAAGGGAGAACTCCCTTGTGGGCTGCCAGAGCCTCAGGGGAGGACAGAAAGGTTCTGGGCTGTGTACTTTTGGTAAGTCGGGAGCTTGTGTAGAGCCTGAGTGGTACCTAGTACTTGTTGCCCTTGTTGACTACTTTCCTTCCCCATATGTGGTTGCAGAAAAAGTTAGGGTGCAGACTTCAACAGGTACAACTTCTCCTTTGCGCAACACAGCAGTTTCAGCCTCTTTCCTGCTACCGCACACAGTAGGTCATGCTCACACTGCTGACCTAACTCCCATAGGCACATTCTTCATTGAAAACACCTTTTTAAAAAGATGCCAGGTGGCTTGGCGAAAGGCAGGTGTTGTCAGTGATGTTCATCATTAGTACTGCCTACCAAATGTCTTGCACCTGCTTTCTGGACGTAACTTTTTTTAATTGGTCACATTGTATTATGTGACAGTTTCATAGGCTCTGGGATTCCCCCCAACCCCTCCCCGTATCCTCCCCCCATGGTGGGTTCCTCACCTTGTTGCTGTATTACATTTCAAATTCAGTCAAGATTCAGTGCAAGCGTATATCAAGCATAGAGTCCAGCATCTTATTGTCCAGATCAATTAAGCAGTTTCTTGGGGATGACATAACATCAACAATAGTTTACAACATTATGGAGTTAATTGACATGGTATTGAGTGACTGATATGTTAGAAAATGCAAGTTCTTAACCATATCCTGTGACTACTTCATTGACATTTCAATTTTAGTTTATATACAGCCAGCTTCTATCCACCTTAAAATGGCTATAGGATACTATTCAGCTGTCACGTGTCTATTTTCATTTTAGTATTTAACAGTTTATAGTGTTGAAGCATAATTTGGCTGAACTTGGCAGTTTTTAGGACAATCTAAACTGGCTTATAACTCTAACAAGGCATATTGGACTTGACTTTTTAAAAAGGATTTTATTTATTCAAAAGACTGAATTAGAGCGGGACCTACAGAGAAAGAGGTTTTCCATCTGCTGATTCGCTCCCCAAATAGCTGCCACAGCTGGAGCTGAGACTGGAGCCAAGAGCATCTTCTGGACCTCCCATATAATTGTCAGGGGCCCAAAGATGTGTGTCATCTGCTTTCTTCCCAGGCTCAACTTAAGGGTACTGGGTGGTAAGTGGAGCAGCTGGGACATGAACCAGTGCCTGTATGGTTTGCTTGTGTGGTTTATCAGCTACCCCCCTACATTGTACATCCCGTTGACCATTTACTGATAAAACTATGATCAGCCCAGAACAAGAGTCAGAACTTGATTGGCGGCTCAAGGGCCCCCTTTCCATAACAGGAAGTTTTCCTTGAGTGGCTGTGTCGCTGTGCGTTGGTCACTGCAAGAACACACAGCTGGGCCTGGCACAATAATGTAGTGGTAAAAGTCCTCGCCTTGTACACGCCAGATCCTGTATGGTTGCTGGTTTTAATCCCGGAGACCTGCTTCCATCCAGCTCCCTGCTAGTAGCATGGGAAAGCAGTCAAGGATGGCCCAAAGCCTTGGGACCCTGCACCTGCGTGGGAGACCCAGAAGATCTGGTTTCGGATTGGCTCGGCTTCAGCCGTTGCGGCCACTAAAGGAGTGAACCATCAGAGGGAAGTTCTTCCTCTGTCTCTCCTCCTCTGTTTATCTGCCTTTCTAATAAAAGTAAATCTTAAAAAAAAAAAAAAAAAACAACATAGACCCACAATGGACATGGAGCAGGAGAAGAAGAGAAAAGCCTCTGGAATGTTAGATGTCATTGTAGAATAGAAAAGTCTGTTCTATGTCCAGCGCGATGGCTCAGTGACTAAATCTTCACCTTGCATGCAATGGAATCCCATATGGATCCTATGTGGGTGCTGGTTCTAATCCCAACAGCCCTGCTTGTGGCCTGGGAAGGCAGTCGAAGTCTTGGGACCCTGCACCCATGTAGGAGATCCTGAAGAGCTCCTGCCTGCTGGCTTCAGTTCAGCGCAGCCCATTGTGGTCACTTGGGGAGTGATTCTGCAGACGGAAGATCTTTCCCTCTGTCTCTCCTCTCTGTATATCTGACTTTGCAATAAAAATAAGTCTTTAAAAATTTTTTAAATTTTTATTGGAAGGATGTTTACAGAGCTTTTTATTGGAAAGGCAAATCTGATTTGCAGAGATCTTTCATCTACTGGTTTATTCTCCAAGCGACTACAGTGGCCAGAGCTGAACTGATCCAAAGCCAGGAGCTTCTTCCAGGTCTCGCATGTGAATGCAGAGTCCCAAGGGCTTGAGCCATCCTCTGCTGCTTTCCCAGGCCACAGGCAGGGAGCTAGATTGAAAGAATAACAGCAACACAAATTAGTGTCCATATGGAGTGCTGGCACCACAGATGGAGGTTTAGGCTACTATGCCACAATGCTGGGACCATCCAGGTTGTATTTTGGAACTGCTGTTTGGAGCAGCACCTGGTAGATGTTCTTTGGGCTGTGCTGGGAAGGGGCACTGCTCTCCTGTACTTCTAGGGAGCGGCAGGCTTTCCTGCAGGAACACAAAAGGCCCTCCCAGCGAGTGAAGTGCCTGCTGTTGGGAGTTTTCGTTAATGCTCGCTCCGTTTTTAGTTCTTACAGATTGCTGTTTGCTTTCTTGTCTTTGAAATTACAGCCATTTGTCAACGTCCTGTGTTCTCAGATATTTAAAGTGAGAGGACTGTAGGTCACCTGATGTGCTGAACACTGCGGCCAAATCTTTTTAAATATTTATGGGATGTGCTGATCTGGGCCATTTATTTAACCTTAATTTCTTTGTAAAGTATACAGCACAATGGTCTTGTCACGTGGTAGTCTTGAAAATGAAAAGAGAGGCGCTTGGGATGCGAAACGGCAGTCCCTCAGAGGTCCTGCCGTTGCAGCATTTCCGGGGGGGGGTGTCGGCGGGATGAGGACGGTCTGCCTTCCTCCGCCCTGAACTTGGGTCCCTACAGACACCAGCAGTGGATGTCAAAGCCAGGAGGCCGCAATTGCCAGGCATCTGTTCATCAGCCTGAAGACTACATTTTGCCAAGCATGGAATGTCCTTTTTCCTTTAGAAGTATTTGAAAGTGAGAGAAAAGGGAGAGATCTGGTTTTAAGATGGAACTTTTTATTTATATT